CGCCGCACCGGTCCACCAGGTACTCGACCACGTCCAGGTGGCCGTAGCGGGAGGCGATGAGCAGCGGCGTCCCCTCGCCGGCCACCTCGCCCGTCAGCTCGTCCAGCTCCTCTCGGCTCCGGCCGCTGAGCAGCTTTTGAAGCAGCTGAAGCTTGCCGTCGCGGGCGGCATTGTACACGACGGTGCGGAGGTCCATGGTCCGGACCTCTGCCAGGCCATGGGCTGGCCGCTGGGAGACGGGGAGACGGCGGGCTAGAGCCCGGAGGGTCCGGCTGCAACCTTCACTGTCTCCCCCGCCGCCATCTTAGGGGCTCCTTGGGCGGAACAAAATGGTGGCCGCTGCCGGGTGCCGTGGTCTAATGGGAGCTCATAGAGAAATGTAGTCCTCGGAGCCGGCCTGCTCTGTAGGATAGGGAAGGAACTGTGAGGTTTGAGAACTATATCTCCCAGAAGTTCGCGGGCTAGCCCCAAGCGAACTTTTCGCACGGTGCATGGTGGGAATTGTTGTTCCATTTGCAGCCGATTGTAGCGGAAACTGTCAACGGAGGACTACAATTCCCAAGATGCAATGCCATCGCGATAGCTTAGGGATCCCAAGGAAGTTTTGTGACTGTCTTAATGCCGAAGCCGACAGGAAACGCAAACAAGCGCCAAAGACTACATTCCCCAGAAGGCATCGGGAGCAACTTGGCGCCTATTACCGAGAGGGGAAAGCAGGCTAAGCCGGCCAAGCAGTCTGATTGGGGCTACTGACAGACAGGGGGCGCTCGGAAAGGCAGGAAAGGCAGCAGGGCGAGGATATTAGGGGTGCAGTAAGTACAGGTGGCCCTAAGGGTCAATCTCGTGCGCTCACTTCTCATGCATTTATTCTTTCATTCACTCACCCTTGAATACTGTCAACTGAAGGTGGTGGTCACCAAGGCAATACCCCCGGAAATTCTCGGGGTGCGGTAATGAGGGGAGGCTTTACTGATACAGTTGTGATACAGCCCGTGTGTGGAACGGCTGGGCTGTGGGACGGCTTCGGTGTGAGACCGCTCAGTGCAGACAGCGCCAGTGAGGGTCTCTTGCTGCTTCAGTGCTGGTGTTACAGGTCCTGCTGAGGAGACGCAGTCTGGGGGGGGAGCTGGAAGGGGACTCTGTTGAGGCCGAGGTGACGCTGGCTAACGTCGAGAAGAGTGCTGGCCCCCGTCCCTGATTGGTCCATTGATATGCAAATGAGGACAGGACTACATCCCCGCTCCTTGAATGGGGGTGGACACGTGCCTGCTTTGACCTGTCCTATAGAGCAAGGCAGAGGTGGCCCTGGGATTTCTGAGTTTAGGGTATAAATGGTCACCAGCTTCCCTGTTCTCTCTCTCATTAAAATAAAATGGTTTTTATTGATTTTGTTTGTTTGTTAGTTAATCCTCACCTGAGGATATTTAAGGCAGAAGTGGCCCTGGGATTTCTGAATTTAGGGCATAAATGGTCACCAGCTTCCCCTATTCTCTCTCTCATTAAAAAAAAAAAAAGTTTTTTATTGATTTTGTTTGTTTGTTAGTTAATTCTCACCTGGGGATATTTTTTCCTTTGCTTTTCGGAGAGAGTGGAAGGGAGGGAGCGTGGGGGGAGAGAGATAGAAACGGGATCACAGGATCGGCTGCCGCCTGCACGCCCCCTACTGGGGGATCGGGGCGGGAGAGAGAGAAACAGGATCACAGGATCGGCTGCCGCCTGCACGCCCCCTACTGGGGGATCCAGCCTGAAACGGGGCACCCCTGACCCAAAATCCTACCGGTGACCTCTTGGTGCCTGGGTCAGCACTCAGCCACTGAGGCACATTGAGCAGGCTCTCTCGTGTTGTTTTTGTTTGTTTGTTTAATTGTTTTAAGGTTCGGAAGGAATTTTTTTATCCAGTTGGATTGTAGGAAAGTCTTTTTCTCCGTTTTGGTACTAATTATCCACTATTCTCTCGGGAAGCCAGCCCCCATGAAGGAAGTCAAGACCATCATGCTGGCTAGACCAGTGCAGACCCTCTTGTTCCCCTGACCACCAAGCGGAGCCCTGCCCCAATTCCTGACCCCCCGACTCCAGGACATGTAAGACAACGATTGTTTCAAGCTTGTATGTTCCGGAGTGGTTTGTGATGCAGCAATAGTAACGGGAACCGGGCTCACTGTAGCTTGTGGCTTTAATGTCACTGTCTGTACTTACTAACCAACTCACACAGTTCCCTGAGAGTTTGTTTACTATGCCTGTTTCCTCTCTGGAGGCTGCCTGCTCAATGGGAAAATATGCCTTGGTTTAGTTTCTAAGAAACAGTCTCACTGTGTTCTTGAAGGGAGGGACTGGCTAGATCTATGCTGCTCCCCTCAGCCTGAGGTATTGTGACATGACTTTATATAACTAATTCAGCCACGTTTATTGATATCCTAAGCACCTACTGTGTTTTGGGTTCCTTGCTCCAAGCTGGGGGGCGGGGGTGTCAGTGAGCAGGCAGACAAGTGTTCTCAGGAACCCAGAATCTGACCATGGGAGGTGGGCTAAGTCAGGGTGTGTGGTCGGGGATGTGGGAGCCCAGAGGAGGAATAGGTTATACCTGGCCGGGGAGGGAAGGAAGGGGCTAGGAGGTGTTTCACGGATAGGGAATGTTTCAGGTAAAGTTGTTGGAAGAAGCAGTGTTTCCTATCATTCTAGTTATCTGTTTGGCTTAATCACCTGCTGTGGACTGAACTGCGTGTGTCCTCCCCAAATTCATAGGTTGAAGCCCTAACTCCCAATGCGACCGCATTTGCAGACAGAGTCTTTAGGGGGTGTCACCCAGCCTTGAAAGCCATCCAGGGGCACTTCCACCCCAGGCCGTTTTCTGGAAGAAGCTCGCTAAGTCTGACCCACTTCAAGAGGAGAGAATCAGACACCACTCTCTCAAGGGAAGGGACTTAGATGTGGGAGAGATGTCAGTAAGTTTGGAGATATGTTTTAAAACCATACATGGGCCCTAGCTGGTGTTTCTCAGTGGTTAGAGGGTCAGCCTGTGCACCAAAGGGTTGTGGGGTCAATTCCTGGTCGAGGGCACGTACCTGGGTTGCAGGTTTGATCCCTGGACCACTCAGGGTGCATGTGAGAGACAGCCAGTCGATGTGTCTCTCTCATATCAATGTTTCTCTCTCTCTCCTCCCCCTTTCCTCCCTTCCACTCTCTCTAAAAATTTAATGGAAAAAATATCCTTCCATGAGGATTGGCAAAAAATAAAAACCCACAACAGACAAACAAAAAAAGACCACACTCAGAGCAAAGACCCAGGGGATACACCCCAGCATAGACATGATGCATTCAGTACCTCATTGAATCACTCACTCCATGCCTACAAGACAGCCTTTTAGGGGAATTCTTTGACAGCAGTGAGGGGACAGTCCCTTCTCTTTAAAAGTGCATAAATTCAATTATGCAATTGGTTCTTTCTATAACATACTGGATAAAGCATTCACAGCTAAACACATCTATCAAAGGGACATTTCATCAAGTCCTCTTGATTTCTTCTACAAGATAAGACATTGCTGAATAAAAAACAGACATTGTCCACACTACTTTCTTAGCCGTCTATGGTGAAGTGTCCTTTTTTTTTTTATAGCAGAAGTCTGACTTGTGAAGATACGCACACACACATGAAGTTTGGGGAAAGAGAGAGGAGTCTACCGTGGGAAAATTATGTGGGGGCATTTTATTCATTTATTTTTCATTTATTTTTTATGTTTTTATTGATATCAGAGAGGAAGGGAAAGGGAGAGAGAGAGATAGGAACATATTGATGAGAGAGAATCATTGATCGCTGCCTCCTGCACACCCACACTGGAGATCAAGCCCACAACCTGGGCATTTGCCCTGACTGGGAATTGAACCATAACCTCCTGGTTCATAGGTCGACACTCAACCACTGAGCCACACCGGCTGGGCTGTGGGGGCATTTTAGTCACCACTTCTCAAGCAGAGATGACTGATACTGGTGGCGTTCAATGATATGTGTTTTTTCTTTCTCATTGAGGGCCTTAAAGGCGACCTTAACTCATTTCTGATAGAAATGTTGTTGAGTAGCAGGAGTGCATAGTTCCCTATGACAACAAGCAAGAGAGAAGCTTTTCTTTGAGTATGTAATTTTAAAAATTGAAATAAGATTATCCCTGTTAACATGTGCAACTCAGCACATTTAGGACATTCGCAATGTTGTACAACCATCACCTCTATCTAGTTCCAAAATTCAGGGGTGGGCAAAAGTAGATTTATAGTTGTGATTATGCAAAACAGTTTATTTTTGTATTATTATTTATTGTATTATTTTCCATATGAACTGTAAACTGACTTTTGCCCACCGCTGTATTTTTGTTACCCCAAAAAGAAACCTCTTCCCCATGAGCAGTCACCCCCCAATCTATATATTTATTATATATTATATATGTATATAAATGTGATATATAAGTATATATGATACATGTTTATATTATACGAGAGGCCCGGTACATGACATTCGTGCATGGGTAGGGTCCCTAGACCTGGCCAGCGATCAGGGCCAATCAGATTCCCAGGTTCCCTGCCTCCCCACCTCCCCACCTCCTCACCTCTCTGCCTCCTCCTTCCCTCCTTCCCTCAGCGCCCTGCCTCTGCCACTGGTCACCAGCCATGTTCCATGCTGCCCCCTGGTGGTCAGCGCACATCATGGGGAGCGATCTAACTCCCAGTCTCCTGGTCGAACTCCTGAGGGGACACTTTGCATATTAGCCTTTTATATATATACTAGAGGCCCGTTGCACGA